TATATATATATATATATATATATATATATATATATATATATATATATATATATATATATATATATATATATATATATATATATATATATATATATATATATATATATATATATATATATATATATATATATATACAGAGTGTCCCACTTAAGATGGATACAAGCCAATATCTTGGTTGTTTGTTGAGCGATCTTTTGCATTTTTGGCAGGAGGCTGTATGGCTATAAGACGTACATTTTGCCCAGGGTAAGAGTAAACTACCTTTAGGACAGTATGTTAGACAGTAGACAGTACTACCCCAGCCCATGGGGCCCGGGCCCCCCCTAAAGTATGTAAATTGGGTTAAATATTAGGCTTTTAGATAAAAAATGGCGCACTAAAAAGCTTATTCTACATTACGTTTTATTTTGGGCCTCCCCTAAAATAAATTCCTGTATCCGCGAGCAAGTAAAAAATATGAGCTGTTTCAAAGACAATTTAACATGCTTTAATATGAGCATAAATTTATACAGGGTATTAATCGTTTATATGCGTACCAACGGGTAAACAAATAAAAGGTATTTGTGTTGTGGTGACAATAAGAATAACAAACTTGTCAAATATTGCAATTACTACCTTTGTAATCGAAATTTTCACATTGTTCTTTTATTCTTTGATTAGTTGTGTTTCATTGTTTGATTAGTGTTTCAATTTAATGCATACACCACCGGAAAAAGCCGCCCAAGTAATCGCTTTATTCGAAAATGGACTTAAACAGAGTGCTGTAGCTCGGCAATTACATATGACACGCGGAGCGGTTCGAAGAGTGTGTGAACGATATGAGGAGACTCGATCCTTTCGTAGTCGACCTGGAACTGGTAGAAAGAGATATACAACGGATCGTGATGATCGCTTTATTGTGTCAACAATGTTAAGAAATCGGCGTCTTAATGCTATTCAGGTGGCAAGAACAGCTCCGTGAAACACGAGGAGTGACTATTAGTCAGTGGACAGTAAGACGAAGATTGAAGGAAAGTAACATGACCCTCAAAACACCCGCAATTGGTCCAAAACTTACCCCAGTTCATCGTCAAGCACGCCTGCGTTTTGCACTGGAATATCTGAATTGGACACTAGAACAATGGGAATCTGTTTTATTCTCAGATGAGACCAGGATATGCCTCTATGGTAGCGGCCAAAGAAGAAAAGTGTACCGGAGGACAGGTGAGCGATTCGCAGAATGCTGTATTGAGGAGCGGATTGCTTATGGAGGTGGTTCCTGCATGATCTGGGATGCAATTTCTATGACTGCGCGAACCGGTCCAGTTTTCATCCGTTGGGGCGATCGTCGGCACGGGAGAGGAGGTTTAACTGGTGCTAGATATATTGAGGATATTTTAGCAGTTCATGTGGTACCTTACGTCGCCTACATTAGAAACGAATTCACTTTTATGCATGACATTGCTAGGGCACACACATCAAGAATCGTACACGATTACATTTCAGAAGTCGGATTTCGGGTTATGGAATGGCCAGCATGCAGTCCAGACTTAAACCCGATAGAACATTTATGGGATGAGCTAAAACGAAGAATTCGTACTAGACGAAGAGCCCCAACTTCTATCCCAGAGCTCATTGTTGCAGTAGAGGAAGAGTGGCTTAACATCCCGCAAGAAACAATATCAAATTTGATCGAATCTATGCCAAATCGTATGAGAGATGTTCTTAGAGCAAAAGGGGTCATACACATTATTGAAAATTTAGTTTAGTTAATTGTCCATAAATAAATAAATAATAACATACCTCTTAGTAATAAAAACGATAATTTGTTTCATGCATTAATTTAATAATTTTAATCCAAAGAAACCAAAATACAAATTAATATCTCTAAACTCTTTTCAAAGAATATGAAATTGTCTTTCAAACAGCATGTATTTTTTCTTAATCTGACAAATAGATTCTAAAAAATATATAGTTAACTTCAAAAGTTTGCCTTGGGCCGATTTCTATGCACGCACAAGTGTAGTTTTATAAATCTTTGTTTAGAGCATATTTTTCAAAGTTAATAGTGATTGTTTTAAATAACTATTTGGATTTTTTTAAATATTCCTTAATAAAACGAATAAAAATCATATTTCAGATTCCATTGAAACTGGGTTTTTAAATTATTTTGTAACTCATTTTATTCATTTGAATTAGCAAACTTAAAAAACAAATTTTTAAAGCAGACAAAATAAATTGAAAATGTTTAGTTTTTTTTATCGTATCTTAATTATTATGGAAGCTAATTGGTTATAATTGGTTATTGATAATAAACCAGTTGTTTATCCAGTGGCGTCGTAAGTACTTAAAAAAATAATAAAAATAAAAATGTCTTATTTTAATAACATACACTGCATCAATATTTATAAAATTTAGAACTTAAGTATCTTGGGTAAGGAGGATTCAATATAATTTATCAGATTTGAAATAAATACTGTCCTAAGGGTAGTTTACTCTTGACTCGAAAAATATCAAACCCCATTAAAACGTACGTCTATGAGGTATCGCATTTCTCACCCTGGGCAAAATGTACGTCTTATAGCTATACAGCTATACAGCCTCCTGCCAAAATTTCAAAAGGTCGCTCAACAAACAATCAAGATATTGGCTTGTATCCATCTTAAGTGGGACACCCTGTATATAGGTACAACTGTACAACTAGTAATTATTAACTTTCGTAAATATTTAATAATTGAAATTATTTTACACCTGTTTATGTATATGTATGTATAAAAATAGATAAATCATAATTTTCTATGAAATTATCTAACTATCAATTCACAAAGTAGGAAGCAAAAGATGAATCAAATTATATACGTAATTATTGTAAATTAAATGTATAAGTGCATATAGTATTATGTTCGACAATTAATTATAATTGGGGCTACATAATTGACATATTTTATGTAGAATTATTTAATGTTTAGTTTCTTGTTATAAATCTAAACATGTTAACAAAAATATATTTATTGAGAATTTTGTTTTGAAACTCATTCCAAATATTGTATGAACGAAAAAAAATGGCGTCAAAGACGGCTAGGGAATGACAATCGATGATAATTTTGGAGGGGTCAATCTCTAGATGTTATTAACTAAAAGAAACTTGTCAAAAATTAACATTTATTATAGAAAGATTAAAAAAGGATAGAATATTTCCAGGCACACAAATCTATTTCCAAAATTTTTTTTTCTCGAATGTTACTTATATTTTTTTCAATGTAGACAAAACGACAGTTTTGTTAGTAAAATTGCATGATCCCTTTAGTTCTCTAGACGTTTTAAATTGCGCTCTGCCATTTTATTCTTCTCTTCTGAAGCTCATTATTTTGTTATAATATTATTTTATCTTGTTTATTTCCAAGATAAAAAAATAATATGCTATATGTTAATCAGCTCCATTATTGAAGTTAATTATTATTATAGAAGCAATAACTTTTTATCAATCTCATTAAGGTTCTAAAAATATAATATAATGAAGAATAATATTATATTAGTTGAATATGTAATAAAAGGACAAAGCTAAAAAGGCAGTTAATATCGTAAATCGTATTTTGATTAATTGTATTATTAGCTATAAAATATATAATTAATATGTATCATAGAAATTATATATTTTTTACTTATTCACTGTATTTTACTATTATATATTACGACTGAAAAAAAATTGGCGCCGGGAGGCACGTATAGCCGCCCATACTAAATCCGCCCTTTCTCAAAAACTGCGAGTTTGACTGATTTTGATGTTATCACAAAGTATTATTCCTAATCTTAAATTGAAAACCGCGTTTCGCTAGCTACTGTAATTTTAGAGTTACGACTTTTAAAATTTTTAACTCCCTCCCATACCCCCTTACCAATCCCCCAGCCCCATAAAAAATGATTGGCCCGATTCTCGGGTGCCACAGTATTTTTGTGCCAAATTTGGTTAAAATCGGTTTAGCGGTTTTTGAGTTATCGTGTTACAGACGGACAGACAGACATACAGACACCATGAAAATGAAAAAAATATAATAAATAAATACAAAATTATATTTTGTATTTAGGTCATTTATGACCCAAATAACTCATTTTGAGTGAAATTAAAAAAAACTATTTTTTTGCCAATCTTAATAGCCTACCATATCTGTTGGTATGGTCGGCTAAAAATGTACTCGTAACAACTCGTAATATACAAATATCATGTGAATGTGATAAATGTTGTATTGGTGAAACATCTAGACCCTTATATTATGTTCGAATTAAAGAACATAAAGATTACCTATTTAAAAAAGGGCGATTTTCACAAATCAAAAATTTGTCAGCATTCATGGAACACAAGGCACAGAGTAGGTTTTAACAACGTAAAAATTATAACGAAAGAAGCGATAGCCTCTATAAAAAAAACTTGACGTTTAAAGCTGATGTTTGGCAAACGGATTGACTGTGGGGTGTAGAGGTTCGATAAGAAGGGGTTTCTCGAATCTCAAATTCCAAGAGGGTGAAAACGCCCCTTAAATATTACAATATTTGTTATTTAAAAAAATGGTTAGTCTTTCGGGAAAACGCTTGGACGCGCATAATTTATTTTGGTTGGGAAATAAAAAACTCATACAGGGTGTTCCAAAAAGTTGAGTAATTGATTAACCACGATTTTGCTTAAACTGCTTGATGTAAAAAGCTTATTTTTGGCAAAAGGATTTTTCGAAAGTCAAATTCCAACGAGATGAAACTATTCCTCAAATATTACCAAGTTATATAATAACATCGCCTATTGTTTTTTCTCATGCTGACATAAACGTGAAAAAAAATTATCCAGTTTGTAACTCCACTCAATGGACACTTTTTTGGTAAATTAACGCTTCGAACATTTGCTAAAACAGTTTTTGTTTATTATCTCGAAACAACGTTTGTGGGTAAGACGATTTACAACTTAACGCATCAATCGTGGGATTTTTGAATTACATACTAAATTATCCAATATGTGTCCTTATTTAACTTACCAGCTTTTAATTTTTTGCACATCCTTCTTTTTGCCTTCTGGTGGGTTTCGCAGACCATCTATAAACGGATGGCTGTGCTTCAGATTGAGGGCGCACATTTTCTATGTGTAAATAAAATAAAAAAAAACGCGATTAACAGCTCGTATACAGCCTTTCACCTGGTTTACACGGTACTACAGTACAGGCGGAGCGCAATTATCCGTAGATATGGTTTCTTTTTCTTTTAACACTCGTGTGTATCTGTGCTAGAAGTGAAATGTTGTTACCACAGATCAATGTTACGATACCGCGTACCGAGTCTAACCAGCGCTATTAGCGACTGAAGCTTTGAATATCGCGGGTAAACTGGCGTTTCAGCACAATTTTGCTTTTGCTTGAAAATTTGCAAGAACGAGCTCAGTGCTGGTGGTAGTGGTATTCAGGGTTGGGTAAAAACGTTTACGTAAAGTCCAGAGCTGCAACAAGTCAGTTTTAAAACCTTTTTTAAATGGTAATAATTAAGGTAATTAATGGTAATAATTAAAATAATGGTAAAATATTAATTTTCTTGTATTACCGTATATTTTTCATTTTATTGATTTTATGGAAAGCACTGTTCATTAAAATGTTGTATCCTCTGTTATAGGGCTTGTTTCTCTCTACAATTTCCTGTCTCACAATGTACCGTTTGTGTCGGGGAAGGGATCATAGTTTCATAGTTGTCGATTTTCGAAAGAAATTAGTACATGTATATTATTTCGTATATTTTTCATTTTATTGATTTTATAGAAAGCACTGTTCATTAAAATGTTGTATTCTATGTTATATATGGCTTGTTTCTCTCTACAATTTCCTGTCTCACAATGTACCGTTTGTGTCGGGGAAGGGACCATAGTTTCATAGTTGTCGATTTTCGAAAGAAATCAGTACATGTATATTATTTCGCATTTTTCATTTTATTGATTTTATGGAAAGCACTGTTCATTAAAATGTTGTATTCTATGTTATAGGGCTTGTTTCTCTCTACAATTTCCTGTCTCACAATGTAGCGTTTGTGTCGGGGAAGGAATCATAGTTTCATAGTTGTCGATTATCGAAAGAAATCAGTACATGTATATTATTTCGTATATTTTTCATTTTATTGATTTTATGGAAAGCACTGTTCATTAAAATGTTGTTATAGGCTACATGTTATAGGGCTTGTTTCTCTCTACAATTTCCTGTCTCACAATGTACCGTTTGTATCGGGGAAGGGATCATAGTTTCATAGTTGTCGATTTTCGAAAGAAATCAGTTCATGTATATTATTTCGTATATTTTTCATTTCATTGATTTTATGAAAAGCACTTTTCATTATAATGTTGTATCCGATGTTATAGGGCTTGTTTCTCTCTACAATTTCCTGTCTCATAATGTACCGTTTGTGTCGGGGAAGAGGTCATAGTTTCATAGTTGTCGATTTTCGAAATAAATCAGTACATGTATATATTTTCGTATATTTTTCATTTTATTGATTTTATGGAAAGCACTGTTCATTAAAATGTTGTATCCTATGTTATTGGACTTGTTTCTCTCTACAATTTCCTGTCTCATAATGTACCGTTTGTGTCGAGGAAGAGATCATAGTTTCATAGTTGTCGATTTTCGAAAGAAATTAGTACATGTATATTATTTCGTATATTTTTCATTTTATTGATTTTATGGAAAGCACTGTTCATTAAAATGTTGTATCCTTGTTATAGGGCTTGTTTTTCTCTACAATTTCCTGTCTCATAATGTACCGTTTGTGTCGGGGAAGAGATCATAGTTTCATAGTTGTCGATTTTCGAAAGAAATCAGTACATGTATATTCTTTCGTATATTTTTCATTTTATTGATTTTATAGAAAGCACTCTTCATTAAAATCTTGTATTCTATGTTATAGGGCTTGTTTCTCTCTACAATTTCCTATCTCACAATGTACCGTTCGCCTCTTCCAATCCTTTTTATTACTCAATCACAATATAATTTACGGTAGTAAATTATGTTTTGCATAGTTTACTACAAACCCATCCCTGCTGGTACCGGACAAACCAGAAGCTCGACAGAGCTAAACACCATTTAAATTGACAATTACCATCTTTGTCCACTACATGGCGATGTAAAGATGGAAAATAGTACCCGGTTGGTTCAATTTTTGTTTTAGTCGTTTTGCCGTACAAGTCGAATAATTTTATTATTTTTTGTTCTAAATGCCTAGTTCTGTTACGAAACTTGTGTTTGTGAAGGTAATTATATGTCTTTGAGCGATATCGCTTGCTTTAATGATATAAAAAAATGATGAATGAATGGGAATTAATTATTATTTCTTTTGTTGTTTGTTTTGTTAACTTTAATGGTAATAGTTTTCGTTTTTTTTATTTAGTTTCTTTTTAACATTTTGTCTCGCTCCTTAAGTAAATCGTTTATTTTCATATACAGTATGTGCCCGGATTGTTTACAAGAGGAAAAACTTTTTTATTGTTGACATTTTGATAAAAATTCATTTTTCATAAAAAAAAATTGCATGCTTTAAAATCGTTACTTCCGTTTATAATTTTCCAAATTTTCATACCGCTTTAGAGAAAATTAAAAAAAAAACAACAAAACATTTTTTTTCAAACGTCACCAAAGTATTAATTTTTACGACGTGATTCACAATATAGAAACGTCATTTTAATGCCTAGGCATATAAGTGATGCACTTTTACGCTTAATCACAAAAGTAAGAAAATATATTATTAAACTGCCATAAGTGTCAAGTTCAACGAGCGTAACCATAGTTTCTCGATATTTAATTACATACAAGCTATTACTTTTAAATCTTTTTATATTATTTGGAACGTTTGAAATTGTTTAAAAATTATTTGTGGCGTTTGAAAAAGAATAGTATGTTGAATTCGGAGAAAAAATGACTTTTTGTGGAAGAAGTGTCATTTTTACTCCTAATAAGACAAAATACTATTTTCTAAGTTAATTTCTCTTTTGTAGTTTCTCTCATATATTCTATTACTACAATGTTATTTGGATTCGACAACCTCATGACCGATGGTAATAATAAAAAATTACGCATGATTGGAAATTAATGCGTTTTTAATTAATTCCATGACAATTAGTTTATGTGCTAACATGTATAACTAATTAAAAATATATTAAGACCATCTAGAATAGTATATACATATAATTAAGACATAGTATCTAAAATGCAATTTTTATTGTCTCAAATAAATGACTGGTGTGGTTTGGTTTGGTTTGGGCCAGCGGCCAAGCTTCCATTGATGCGGTTGATGCGTCGCATCACTTCAAAATATTGTTTATACGTTTTTATAAAAAAAAGTCACTGAGATCTCCCATCATCATCTTTACCATCATTTTCAGCTTATTCAACCATTTCCAATTATGATGTAGCCTCCCTCACATCAGTAGCTGACTAAGGGGGGCGATAGGGGCGGCTCCGGGCCCCGTCTTTTAAGGGGCCTCCAAATCTCAATAAGTAATTTTTTATTCAACTGGCAAACAAGACAACAAACAATATGTGTTCAGTAGTTATGAAGCAATTTGTAGGCGGAGTATGCAAACCATATATACGTACGAGCCCTAACAATTATATGTTGGGATAAGGTAATATTTTGGAATTATTGCCCTGGTTTTTCAAAATGACTGAAAAATATATGTTTAATTTTTTAAATATAAACATAGCCATATATATGCTAAACAACTTGACAATATTTTTATGAATTTGTAATCAATTCATATTTACAGTATACTCTGTTTTTTTTTTCTCAGGTAAGATTTCGACAGACGATGACAGAAGAAAAGCAGATGACGTCCCATACCAATCTATTTATTTTACTAAAAAAAGTTTCTAATAATTTTTAAGTTATCTATGGATGGGTTTAAATATAAATCCGTCATGCGTCGTGTCTTGTTGTTTTTAACCAGTTTTATTGATTTATTTAAAAAATGACAGATCGTATTTCAATTTTATTGGTTTGACGGAACGATGAACGATAAACGGACGCCGATGCCTATAAACTCGCCTTTAGATTTTTGCCATTTTTGACGCTTGTCAAAGTCTTGCCAAATTATAGGTTATAATTTTGTGTCAACTTTTGTTAAATACCCTGCGTTTTGAAAGATGATGCATTTTGATTCGTATTATTACGTGTGTTTTGTGTCTTTTGAAGTCAAGTGGAGGAAAAATCGAGTGAAAATTAACTGTAGACCCAGAGCACAGTTTATGGTTAATACTGCTGCCCAGGCAGAAAGTCTTATACACCCCATCGTTAAAGTTTGTATACCATCTCGTCGTAGATAAGTGCATCTCGTATATGGTAGAAGGATCAAACTAAACACAAACTAAAAACTGGAGCTGTAAAATATCGACATCACACGATAGGTAAATAATGGATTTTAGTACTGCAGAAAAAATAATGTCAAAAGGTAATGGTTTAAAAAAATTAAGATTAAAGTTAATTAATCAACCTTTAAGGTATAAAATTTGGTAGGTGTTATTATTAATAAAATAGTTTGTTTTATTTACCTATGTTGTTTTATTTATTCCTGTGGAATATTACAAATTTGTATTTGTACATAAGTTATATTGATAAATATAATCATAAATGCGGGTAGTTTCATAAAGCTTGAAAGTAAAAATAGTTCTTTTTTATATTTTTTTTTGTATGTAGTGTCTTGTTCTTGTTTGTTTTGTATTAACACATACCGGTTTTATTAAATAAAATAACTCGATTACATTTTTTCAGTTTTATACAGTTTTTTTCACAATATTTTGAAGTAATCACTTGTCATCTTGTCAATGAAATTTTAAATATTTCCTGCTATGCGTTCCAGTTGTACCAACTTATTTCTTTGTAAAATAAAATAAACTACTTTGAAATTAAAATGACAGACACATCTATCACTGTCAAGGATCTTCTGGTTGGACAGACTATAGCGGATTTTGTTCATAAAAGGACAAATTTGCTGACAACTAAATGTTGGGACAAGTATTATTAAATAATTAATATCATAGGCAGCTTTGCTATAAACGTCACAAATGTCGCAAACTGTTTACTTCAGCATTGACAGCTTGTAAGTGACTCAATACTTTGAATAGTGAGATTTACTGTAAGTAATTTTAATTTTTTTAATTGTCAATTTTGTTAATTATTTAATTCAAAGTTATGGTCCGTGGAAAAGCTACAAATCAAAAACTACGCGAAATTATCATTCGTCAATACACTAGGGGAAAAACAATTCGAAAAATTTCTGATGATTTAAGTATTCCAAAAACCACGGTCTTTAATATAATAAAACAATACAGCGAATCTGCCAATGTAGACGTTAGAG